TTTGTGAATAAATTCTTTCAAGGCAATTTTCAGTCTTTTGAGAAAGTTCTTTTCAATTAATCATTTGAACTAGTTCACAAATACCATTGAATGATTCAATTGTAAATTCAACTGATCTGATTGCAGCAAAGAATGAAGATTCAATGATCTAAAAAAGACCTGATAACAATGTCCGATTTGTAAACAAATCCTTCTTTTCGATGCTCAGAATGAACTGTGATTTCAACTGATCTGATTATATCAGTTAACAAAGCAGTGATTCAATGATCTAGTGGAGACCTGGTTTTCGAAATGTATCATTCTTTTCAATTTTGAGAATTTGTGAATTGAGTGATTTATTGCATCAGTTAACAACTCTGTTTCAGTTCTGATTCAATTATCTGGGCAAGATGTCTGATTGTTTGCTAGTTAGTTTCAAATGTCATTGTTAAACTGACTGATTCAGTAATTTAGTTGAAGTGACTTTCAAGATAACAAAACAAACTGATGAATTGAATTTGATTATGCTGACTCTTAATTATTTATAATAATGTCATATGACTAAATCCACTTGACTCCATTAAATTACACCAATGAAATCAGAAGGTCAGATTCAGGGCTTGAATTTCTGGCCTGAAGGACCATTTTTATAGGCTTTTTACAATGTAATTTGTGAGTATGTGGGAGTGAAAATGAAGCACACCCAACTAACTCCCTGAAATATTTTTGTAGTTCACACACAGCTTAGTGTTTAAACGTCTCTCTCTCTCTGCTTCTCTGCGCAGGTTTTATTTCCATTCCTGCTTCTGCTAGAGGAGAGAATTGCAGGCTTTGTGGTGCTTTAAAAACAGGTGTTTGTGCTTCTTTCTGCATGAACATTTGAGTTTGTGGAGGAAATTACAGAGCAAAGACCCTCACAAACCAGGCATCCCATCCCCATTTGTCTTAACTTTATAGACTCTACATCTCTCTGATTTTCTAGCAGGAAAAATGACCCTTAAATTACTGTCGGCCAAACTGGGGGCAAATATTTCTCTCAATCACAAATGATACATTTGCTTTTCACACTGTTGATTTATGCCTTAAACAGTATCCACTTTACGTTTTCTGATCATGACCCTCACTTCCAAAATGAGCCCAGCTATTTGTACACGGGGAAAAATATAAATAGCATTATTGGCATGGCTTATTAATACCAGAGAAGGCCTTGTAAGAGCTGGCTATCTGTTGGATTTGAGAGACTGGGGCTGGAATGAGTCCACTGAACCCTCCAGAGTTCTCCCACAAACATGCCCTCTATTGTTGTTTATGTTCCATTCCATTCCCCCGCCACCACAACGTTCCAAGAATCTCAAATGTCACAGAGACGCAAGAATATCCCCTCAGATACGTTTAAAATCAGACACCAACACACTCAGAGCTTCATCAAAACTGGCATTCATCTCTCTGATCATACACAGAGCAGCTCTCTGTTTTCTCTTGCAGTCACAATGCTCAAGCCGCCACACTCCCATCAAATCACTCAGAGATTATACACAATACAACCTTGTGATTATACACAGGAAAAAAAATCTTCTTTTATTCACCTCAGCATTGCACAGGCAGGCTGCCAACACGCTGGGGAAATTCTTATTTTGCCGTAGAGGGACTCACATTAAAGGTTTTCTGTCTGAACGGATTGTACATAGTAACCACATTTAGAGGCATTCGGTTTATGAAGGCCTATGGTAAGACAGCACAAATAGACTGAAGACTCCTCAAGGCCTTTTCTTGTCTCCTCACCTGCAGGACTGATTACTGTGTCTCTAAAGGGACTGCATTTAGTCTCCTAGTGGTCTTTTTTGTATAGTCTGAGAGGCGACGCTGCTCTCCACACCACCCTCATTGTCTTTGAGTGTCCTCACTTATGGAGGAACTCATACAGACTAGTGACCCTCCCTGAGGACAAAAGTATGGTCTGTCCTGTTTTTTTCCCCCCTTCTTTTGTGTGGCTAGAGGACTCGAGTTGAAGTTTGAACAACTAAACGTTTATATGTTGATGATAATTGATATTGAAAATAGTCATTTAAGTGAATCAGTTGAACAAGGTTACAGCGGTAGCAGTGAATGATTCAATTGGGAATTCTGACTGCAGAAGTTAACAACTCAATGGTTCGGATTCGAGGCCAAATGGCTACGTTCGATTAATGAATGAATTATTCATTGAGCCGATTCTTTTCAATTAATCAGTTGAATCAGTTAAAACATTACATTAATTCATTCATTTGTGAATCGACTTATCCAATTGCAGTAGTATTACAGTATAATTTTTTTTTCATTGATTAGCTGAAGCAGTTCACAAATAGCATTACAATTATTAATAAATCGGGAATACAAATGACCTGATTCCATTAGTTATCAAGTCATTGATTCGATGATCTGTTTTGAGACCCAGATTTGTGAATGAATCATTCTTTTCAGATTGATATTAAAAAGTTGAATTTAATTAGCTATAGGCCTAAGTCTTATCTTCATCACTTTTTTTGGTATTTAAAAATCTATTTTTAATTAGGTCAAATGAATAATAGTGATAAAATACTGTTTAAATATTTACATAAATACATGCGTCAATCAAATGGAACATTCTAGATGTGTCATTTTAATCAGAACAATATTTTTTTTTTTGGACGTTCATTTAAAAAATATTCAAATGAATTAAAACTTAACTGTAATTAATTAAAATCTTTTAATATGAATAATAACATCAGATTGAAAAATAAAAGGAAAATAAAAAAATCATAGCAATATAAAACTATGTTCATACTGATTAATTAATCAGTTAAATAAAGAAATAATCGGTTATCATAATAGTTGTTGCAGCCTTATACTAAAGTGCTTTTCCACATGTTCTTTCTCACCTCCCTATTTCCTGCACTTGTTTTATTGCTCCTTTCTATTAATGCGATGACGCATTCTCTGGGATTGGGAATGTGTTGTTCCTGGAAAAAAAAAGAGCGACTGGGGTGAGTGCATGCAGTCCAGTGAACATGTGAGATGGGTGTGGTAAGATTCCCCCCATACACCTCTCAATTTAGCCCAGGGACCGAGCAGCAGGTGACCTCTATGCCAGAATAGTGCCTGAACCAATAGATTTAGAAGGAATTTCTGAAACAAACCTAAATGGCTGCAGGCAATGTTTTTTTTTTTTTTTTCAAAAATCACTGAAATACAGGTCACGTGTCTGCTGAAATGCCCTTGAGACACTGACATATGACACAGTCCAAAAACAGACGTTCGCACTGGATTGACCCGAGAACCTGCGTGTTCAGCCAGCAAATCAGAGTTGGATACGTTTCGTGGCTGGGTTGAATTTTGTCTCCCCCTATCTCCTTCTCTCAATGGGACAGGCAGCTGCTCCCCCTCGACCGCACACCCCTCCAGCATTCTTTAGACGTGATGTCACCTGGCCTCCTTCAGCCAGTTCACTTACTCCTTGGGTCTCACTAACTTATTTCTCTTTTAAAATGCAATGCTTTCCTGATTGCATGCCTGGTTTTTAATCCCTGTGTTTTTTGCATTTGCATTCATAAACAAACACTTCCTTATAGCCTGTGCATATTTCTTAGCATATTAGCATGTGTTTGCATGTACCAGTGAGGTACAGCACAGGGCAAACACAAAAGAGCTTTTTAAAGTCCATTGATAAGCTGCCAGGTAATTAATGACAGCGCCAGATATAACTAAATGTGCACAGTCATGCTTTTGGTTTACTTCCAGGCCCTAACAAACTAGTCCGCCACCCCCTTAGGAGACAATCTGCTTTAATAATGGTTAGCTCATTGCAGCCGATGCCAAACATCTGTCTCTGTATAACTATTTGATGGTTGAGGTCTAAAGGAAATGAAGCAAGGCGGTGAGCTTCATCTGTCAGTGTGTAACTTCAAGGCACTAATATCAACATGTGATCTTACATTTAGGTCACGTAGAAAAGTGCATGGAGGGTAGAAGTGACTAGATTAAAATAGACCAGCAGCAATATCTGTATTGATGACCCACATCGGCCCTGATCCAGAGCTTTGATTTCTTTAAAGGCTTCTTTAAACATTACTGGTCTCCATAGTGAATCATAGTGAACCATCAATCAAATCTCTTTGATTAGATTTCATCATTCATTTACTTTTGTAGAATGTGCCCTCCTGAAAAACACATTTGGAGCCACTTTGTCTCTTTTCATCTTTGTTTGGGCTTTATTGGATAATCGCATCAGTTGTCTCATGTTCTATACCCTGTTTTGGTGCTCATCTATTTGGGAATGTGTCTCTTGTAAAGAATACTTGTTTTGAGGGGAACCAGAGATTGATATCTTTCTTCTGGAAAAACTCTGGAAAATACCAATAAGCTGATAATTATTTTTAGGTTGGGGCTGTATGTAAGAATTTTCATGTATGAATCGCTTTTTGTATTGCCAATGTGTGTGAACAGCTTGTAGCAAACAGCTCGACATTAAAAAAATTAGTTTTGTTTAAAAACAATTCTCTAAAAACTAAAATCAATCATATTTATTTGCTACGAGTGACTTTAGGCATCACAACATATTACAGTATCAGAAATGGGTATTCATTCTGAGATTTGCTAAAGATTACATTTAAAGGGTTAGTTCACCCAAAAATGAAAGTTCTGTCAGTATTTACTCACCCTCATGTTGTTCCAACCCCGTAAGATCTTCGTTCATTTTCGGAACACGAATTAAGATATATTTGATTAAATCTGAGAGCTGGATCACTCCTGCATACTATTTCATAGGCTTCTTGAGGAATTGAAACTTGCTGGCCTAGAAAAGTTAAGACATCGTTAAAATAGTCCAAGTTACAATCCAAGGCTCAATCTTCAAGTTTATCAAACGACGGGAATACTTTTTGTGCGCAAAAAAACAACAAAAATAACGACTTTATTTCAACTATAAGTGAATAACCCTTTAAAGTGTTACTAAATTAATAGTCTTCTGAAAGATTAAACGGAAATGCTGCTTCTTTCTCTAACAGAGCATTGAGCGAGATGAGCCCATTGAAGTTGATCCAGCACCAATTTCCCAAGGCCTGGAGAATGGACACTTATCCTCAACAGGTATTACCCATAATTCCTTTAGGAAAGCCTATTCAGTGTTCCCTTAACGATAGACAGACAGACGGACGGACGGACGGATGGATAGATAGATACAGTAGATACAGTAGATAGATAGATAGACAGACAGATGTTCTACTGCTTCAGTTGTAACATATTTACATCCTCTATCCAATCAGAAAACTCTACTATACCTTTGAGGAGAAACTCACCACCCAACGGTGTGTCACAGGAGCACTCGGCCCCCGTTCCCATGGCGATGCCACACCTGCCCATCACAGCAACCACCAAAGTGGCTGACTCTGCAGTTATGAAGAGTCCTGAGTCACCTGGAAGCCCGATGCAAGCAATGCCTTCAACCATAACAGATTCACTGACAAACAGTCAGGTGGTCAGCGGCGATAACCAGCCACAACTAGAGTCTCCTGTTAATGCAGGTATGACTCCATCACAGCTTCACAGAGTGAGGTTACAGACGACTCTTTCTGCTATCAGTACCTAAAGGTGTATGTTGGTCTTGTGGTTACAGTGCCGTCTGTGAAAACATGGGCTCCAACTCCAGCCAGGACAATGGGTTCTCCACGGCTTAGTGGTAGGACAAATTCAACCAACTTCTTTGACTCATATTCACAGCATGTGATTTTATCATACAGTCTGTCTCATTGTTTGTGTCAATCCATGTTTTGTCTCACAGAGAAAGCATCTTCAGCTCCAGCCAAGTCAGTGACTTACTCTGGGCTTTTCTCACACAATACAGACAGGTGGGTAGAGTATGATGAATATATGTAAATGAAAATAGAATTGGCAATATTCTCTCACTTAGCAAGACAGTCTCATAAAAATGGCAACACTTTACAATAAGGTTCAATTTGTTAGCATTAGTTTGTTCATTAGTTGTCATTAACTAACAAAAAGCAATACTTACGGGGTTATGACCCTCATGTCATTCCGAATACTTTTATTCATCTTCGGAACACACAGTAAATGAAGTGTGAAGTGTTACCAAACAATTATAAAATTTCACAGAACTGAAATGTTCCTCAGCAAAATTTCTCTCTCTTTGCATTAGAAATGTGGATATGCCAGGAGATTTATCTTTCGGCAGAGGTATTGAGCGCAGACGGGAGCTTGTGAGGTCCCAGACTTTACCTCGAAACATTGGAGCCCAGGCACGCAGGTCTATTTTTGAGAGGCTGGACTCTGAAAACAACAGGTAATGAAATTTTTCTGTTTGTCTATGCAACCACATGCTCTTTTAATGCTCTGCAAAGTCAATCCAAGTAAAAACCTCTTTCTTTGATCTTTCCCAACTCAGTCGACCCAAACCAGTGGATTCCAAACCAAAGCTAAAACGCTCTCAGAGCTTTGGAGTATCAAGTGCCAGCAGTATCAAGCAGATTCTTCTAGAGTGGTGTCGATCCAAGACTATTGGCTACCAGGTATGATAGCCATAGACGTCATGGGACTTATCTCAGATCAGAAGGGAAAAAAAGGGAGCTTTACCCACATATCAACAAGGCCAGTGTATTAAAACTAAGAAAGGGTTTAACAACACTTCAGCCTAAGGTGCAGATTATCCTGCTTTATAGGGCTTCCTATACTGTTATTTGAAGATTGAGCTCATTATAAAGTGTTATTCTGTTTATTAGCTTTAGCATATCAACTTTATTAACATCAGCAAGATTGTGAATGAACATTGTGTGTGGTATTATAGGTATACTCTGCATATATATTCTGACTGACTCTAGTGCGGCTTTGTAAACCAGCTCATGTGGCTCTAGTTAGAGATAGTAAATTAACGGTCAAGCCTAATTTAGTATCAAGAGAGACCAGTATGTAAACATGAGAACCAGAGCAGACAGCTGACCAACACACATGAAGATTTCCCTCCGTGACAGAGACTTTCTTTGCCTGTGAGATTTGCCAGCTATATAGGCGTGAGTAAATATAAATATTACTATGAATCTCAACATATAAAGATAAGGGTCAGACAACAATAAAACATCTGCTCTGACAACCACAAGCAATTCTGCTGAATCTCAAAGGACGTCATTGTTTTTCTACTCCTTTCTCTTACTCACTGATCAAGAGGAACAAATGCTAGAAGAATAATACCTTCTTTTTGTAATCTATTGTTATTAGTTATTCTTTTCCGTGTTAGTTTTAGATTCATAAATGCTTAATTGATTTTAATTCCTGCACACTACTCAATTTTGCACATCACATATATACATTTTTTATTTTAGTTTTTTTATTTCAGTTTTAGTTTGTAATTTTAGAACATCAAGTTAGACTAAATTAAGACGAGAACTATTAACTTGTCATCTAGCTGAAATAAAATAAGTTTAGGTTTTGTTATATTTTACTTTATTTTAAGGTGTGTGTGTGTGTATACAGTATATATATATGCACAATGATGGATATATGCACAATGAGGCACATTTATGAGTAGAGTAAGTAAAGCCAATTTTAACTTTGTGTTGATGGGTACGGGGGCAAAACCCCAGTGTCCTCTGTCCTGTGACATATAATAGCTTCACTCTCTCCCATTAATCTGCAGAACATCGACATTCAAAACTTCTCATCCAGCTGGAGTGACGGCATGGCATTCTGCGCCCTAGTCCACTCTTTCTTCCCTACAGAGTTTGATTACAACATCCTGTCCCCTGCCGAGCGCAAACATAACTTCGAGCTGGCATTTAGCACTGCAGAGTAAGTCACTGGAATGAAGGCGACTCTGTTCACCCTTTTGACAATGGCATTGAGATGTTGACACTTCATCTCCTTTATCTCTTGAAGTTGAGTAGTTTGTCTAGTAATACTTTATTTGAATGTGTCCTTGTTACACGTTACATGTATTTACTAGTAATAACTATAAATTAGGCATAATTACATGCAACTAGCCCTAAACCAAAGCCTATTCCTACCCTTACCCTATAGCAAGTACATGTAGCCTAGTTAATTACTATTACTCAGGACTGAAATGGATAATCACACTGTAACGTGGGACACATTAAAATAAAGTGTAACCGTTTGTCTCGGTGTCATCCCTTTAACTGAAATACACTCCTGTTCAAAGGTTTGGGGTCGGTAAGATTTTAGTTTTCTTAACCAGGAGTAGGCCTTAATCTACAATAGTTAATCATGACTTAAAAATGGCTTTCTGTCACACAGATTAAGTACAGATTAGTTACACCTAGACTATGGAGTCCTGAACTAAACTAAAATAAAATATTTAATAAAAATATTTTATTTATTAAAAATAAACTAAAATAAAAGATTAATTTAAAACCAACTGTACTAATCTGATTTAGCCTGACAGAGATTGCCTATAAAACATGGAATGAACCAAGGAAAGCTAAAAAATAGCAATGGAACTGAGAAGCAATTGCAAGGAAAACAATGGCATCAGAAAACGACTGCAAATTATTTTCATGCTTTTTGCAGGGTATTAAAGGTAAATGTTGTCATCATTTAAAAAAAAACATAATGAATGTCAAAAAAGCTGCATAGCCTATGAGTAGCAAAAACAAATCCATATAGAATAGATCATGCGCTATATTCAGTCTTAGTCACTATGAAAAGAGCTCTGTGAAGATGACTTCATAACCTTTTTTGTCCAATGAAAAAATAACACAAGTTTGGAACATATTCATTTTCGTTTAATATCGCCAATAAAGTATTAAAAGTCTTTAAATAGGAATGGACCAGCCAGATGAGATGTGAACTTGATGTGACCCGACCTAACAACCTGAACAGAACGATTCCAAAATGCAAGTTGACACAAATCATCTGCACCTCACAGTATGGCACAAAAGATAATGTTGCTTAGTTTCCGATGCGTCCGAGTCTAGGGTGTCTGTAACCGGCACTTTAAACCAGTGAAGCAATGCATGCCAACAAATCCCAGTTGAGCTCAGAGGAACCTCCCCTTTCTTGACAGCCCTGCTGCAGCATGACATCATTCTCCCAGTGTCCCAATTCCCACATCTTGAAATATTCACATAGACCTAAAACTGCACTATTAACATCATCTGAACATATGTATTACAGTTATCATATGAACTTAAATAGTCAACAGACATGAAGATTGAATAGAAGCAGTCACACACGTCCACCCCTGCTAAATCTGTGTCTCTCTATTTCCAGGAAGAAAGCTGGCTGCGATAGGCTTATTGAGGTGGAGGACATGATGGTGATGGGCAGAAAGCCAGACCCCATGTGTGTCTTTACTTACGTCCAGTCACTATATAACCACTTGCGCAAGTTTGAGTGAGATCTTGGCCCCTTCAGCCCTAGCTGAACACTCTGCACTGCCCTCTGCTGGAAAAAACTCAACTCTGATATAGACACTAAGGTTTGGGTTTGCAAAATGTCCATGGGAACCCTCACCATTTCAAGCATGATGCTTCTACGGTTGCATTTTTAGTCAAGAAAAGGTCATCGACTATTTATAAAAACCCTTGAGGACATGGCTTTTGTGTATGGCAGGCTCTTTTTAGAAACGGAGTCCTCTGATTTATTTCAAAACAGCTTGGTTACGCTAACTGCATTATGGAGCCATTTCATAGATTTGCAAAGATAAAGATTGACATAAACATTGAAATGTATTAGTGGATTTCATATTTACTAATGAAAGAAAGATATAGAATGTACAGGAAATAAGGTACAATATATTTTCTCAGATAGATTAGCACATTTTGTTTAAGTTTTGCCCTTTTTTTTCCTAATTTTCAGAGAGTGGCCCATTTCTGGTTATCTTTTATACTGTGTCTGTAGCTCAAATACACACAGGTGCATGTGTAGCACAACATACAGTAAGCACTGGATCTACGTTATAACAGGACATGCTGTAAACCTGGTTAGACAGTGAGCATCACCAGGGAGTGTGAGCTTTTTGGAAGCTTTTTATTATTATTTTCTTGTAAAAAGAAGAAAAAGAAAAAAATACATTTTCCCACACTATGTGTCTTGTGAGCCAATAACAATTACAATAAACGTCAAAGCACAAATCAAGACTGTCCAATAAATACTAAGATGATAGATGTGGAAATTAAGACAACAATATGATCATAATATACCTTGCGGTGTCTTGAAGTGGTTTACAAAAAAATGATGATTCTAAACTTGTATATTTTAATTTAAAGGATTCTTTTGCAAAATCCTTTTACTTTTTATTAGATCAAGACTAATTTGTTAAACACTGTTAGACATCTCACTGTTTGGATTTGGAGGAAGAATAAGAAACAACAACTGTAAGCTGTATAGAAAGAATGACACAAAACATATGGAAATATTGGATGATGTTAGTTGATATTAGGGCTCTCCAAGGTCTCCCTCCATAGTCCGGACGAGAACATAAAGCTCAGCAAGACCGACAACAGATGCTACAATCACTGCAGCTAATACTCTCTAAAAGAAAAACACACATATAACCATTCATAATGTTAGTTTCCAAAACACCTTCATGGTTTACAGTGCATTGATTGGTGAGAATGCTGTGTGCACTTACAGCTGTCGTCTCTGTGAAGATATACTGGGTGCCCAGGTATGAACAAGCAAATGCTGCAACTACAGTTACCAGGAAGTTGAATACAGTAATGACAACTGCTTTCACGGAACGTACTGCAGAAGACAAAATGACAAGGTCATAACCGGGAGACATTTAAAATGATAAGAGAAAGGGAACATCCTTACCTTCTCTTCCAAAGTCTGCTAGGTTTCCATGATTATTCATTTCCTTTTGAGTAAAACAGTATATTAATAAATATGAAAACTATAGTTTTAGCATGTGTTTGTTATAAAGACTGTCACAGAGAGCTCACCTGTGGATTTACATTCCGTGTTATTCTCTTATATTCTTCATTGGCAAGCTTTGCTTTTATTTTTTCTAGGCGGGCCACCAGCTGGGGGTTCTGTTGGGTTGAACTAAATCGTTATTTTTCATGATCATGCTTTAAACACAATTTGAAACAAAAGTCATTTTCCAATATTAATCAAATCCGAGTTGCAATGCAGTGAAACTCACTTACCCTTGGAGGTGTGATGACTTCTGGAAGATGAAGTGCGCTGTTCTCAAACAGCTCATGAAGATACACTGGATGTCCTGCAAAAACACCAAACTCAATTTCTAATGTGCAATAAGAAGCTTCAGAAAATGTTCCCTAACATGTGTACCTTACCATTTTCTTGAAGAAGCTTGTGTAGTTTTCTCACAGTCTTGAACGGAATGATGGACTGATCTTTCAGAGCATTCAACTCTTCCTTCAGCCCTTCTGATATGGAAGATTCTCTCTCCAGTAAATCTCTGGCCTTCTCCTGAAATCTCTCTCCGATTTTAAACGAAGAAGCCATGCTAGCAAAAATGTCTGCTAAAGTTCAATACACGTTCACTTACTTTTAGTAGTTAGTTTATATCAGTAATCAATCCTGGTTGTGAGGACAGTAAATAAGTGACGTTAGCGTAAAGCAAAAAGAGAACTTCCTTATTTACCCAATCAAAAGGCTCAAAACTAAAGCTACAATAAATTCAAAGTCACAAATTATATAAATTAAATAAACTAAACTATGTTACACCAATATGATAGTTGTATTTTATCTTAAATTGAGCATGTTTTCATGATCCCTTCATATCAGCTGATTTCTTCTTCTTCAGCGTGTTTATTGGCTGGTTGCAAACCAACTAAATAATCGCACACCGCTCCCTACTGGCCGTTTGGATTTAGGCTCAAACCTTTGATGAAACAATGAAAAACAGTGTTTTCAGATGCAATCATGGAGATAAAAAAAATATTTTGCTAAAATCTGTTATTTACAAATACAGTTACAAAAACGCATCCTCTTTTTTAACGATTTATTAAGTGAATTTCTAATTTATTTATGTTGTTGAATATTTGTATTGAATTTGTATTTCATTGTATTTGACAAAAGACAGTACAAATTCAACATACACTCATAACTACAGTAATATAAATAAAAGAAAACACACAGCCTGAGGCTGAAAAGAAATACGTTAAAAGATTCGCATATTCTTGTTATCTGAATGAACAATATCGGTATGTTGTTCAAGAATCAAAAACAACGGTTTGGTTTTTAATATATTTAGCGAAAATCAAAAGTAAATGTATAATATAATATAATATAATATAATATAATATAATATAATTTTACTAGAGCCAAATAAAACCAAATAAAACAAAAATCTAAACAATAAGAAAAAATGTGGTAAATAAATCTAGTCGAATCTTTCTGAAATTTACTTACATGAGTTCAATGCCAAAATTATAAATAAAAGAATATTTTGACAAAAAATAAAATTGATAAAAAACAATAAAATACAAAATATTACAACAGGAACTGAAAAGACGTGTGACCTATATGTAATATTGACGTCTTCCGGTCGCAATGCCTTATGGGAAATGTTGTGATATTTTGTACTGTGCAATATTGCAATAAAAGGGTAAAAACTTAATTAAATATCATTTAACTTGTGCTACTCAATATTCCCGAATTTCACGCGCTTAAAATGTGAGTTTTGGGTTTAACGTGAAAGATATAACCCGTGTCCGTGTGTGGTGTGTTCATGTGCAGATATCTAAAGGAAGATGGCAGCGTGTGCAATACGTCGGGGCTTATTGTCAACCGCTAGTAAATATAACCAGCACAAATGCACTCACAGAATATTGAGTGCACTAGACTTCAGCAGCGGATTAGATACGAAAAAAACCCAGCCGTTGTGTTCATCTTGCGGGTTGTCCAGTTTTCAACAGAAGAGGTTTATGTCATCACGGTAAGAGCTAACTTATTTAAGCGAACGAACGTCCTACCATGTCCTTCTTTTAGATAACTGCGCAGAGTTGTAGTTTTGGCAAACTATTTTGACAGCACATACCTTTAAAATGTATCTGTGAAAAGTATTCATGTTCATAAAGAATGTTATAGCAGCTGTCACTTGTATAATATGAGCTGTTACTGTTGTTGGAATGATTCACATGCTTGCATACCTGTATTACCACTTCCATATTGTTTCAGTGCTCCACTGTGCAGTTTTGCAGTGCACTTTATTTTTTACCGAGTGTGTGGACAACCGAATTATGGAATCGACTGTGTTGATTACAGTACTTTTGAGTTGATCTTAAAATGCCATTGGAAAAGGACAGATGCCAATACACTCAATTGGGGCCTAAAAGACTGACATACCTTAGCCTCGCTTTCAAGCCCCCTAAAGTCATTCCTGATTACATAAGGGATAGTCTGGGCCTGAGCCAGCAGACAGTAAACAAGTCCTGCTATTTCTGTTCATGTCAGTCTGTTTAGTGACCAATAAAACTTTCAGAATTCAGATTCAGTCTAGTCTGTGTCCAATATTTCTCCATTTTTAATTTGTTGCACAATATTCAACCTTGCTTGCTGGTATGTTGAATTCGATGGCTTCATTCATCATAGCTATGCAATATTTCAGTTTCTTTAATGATTGTTTCTTTGGTAGAAACAGGCCTGAGGGTAAAATACTGGAACCTGTTGGTATATTTGAAGCTCTGAAGCAGCATGGCAAATATGAAACGGGCCAGGTCAGTGATCATTTTTATTTCGAAATCCCTTGATTCTGATTCCTCAGATACAGTAATTTCAATTCTCAACATTCACAGCTTTTCCTGCACAGTGTATTTGGGTATAGAGGAATTGTGTTATTCCCCTGGCACGCTCGTCTTTACGATAGAGATGTAAGTCCTGCTGTGGCTGACAGGTATGTAGTTGAGGATTTATTGGATTTATACCTGATTATATTCATAAGTTTATGAATTTCTGCTCAATGATCCTCCTGTTTGTCCTTTGCTTTTTCAGCAAGCCAGACTCTGTGGGCCATGGATCTAAAGAGGTGAAAGGCAAAATGCATACGTACTACCAGGTCCTCATAGACACCAGAGACTGCCCTCACATAGTAAGTGGCATCAAAATACATAAGTAAATAGTAAGTTGGCCCCAATTTATTTTTGGACACTTTAAACCACACTCAGTTTAAAATCATATGATGATTTTTTTCCCCTTTATTTATTTATCAGGGACAGTGCACAAAATACATTAATCTTAAGAATAGATGTTTTGTGTCAGAGTTAGCCGAAGCTAATTTTCATCGGCAGTCCCCGGGCAGGTTCACACAATTTATAAAACATTACATAACAAAACAACTATCAATAGAAATATAGGCTACACATACTGTAATATTAGTCTACGAAGGTCATATAAGAAAAATCAGATGTTCAAAATGAGAGAACAATATAACTCTACCCATAATATATACATTAAATGTGCTGATGCTGACACGGCTGGTTTTGAGAAAAATGGTTTTAGAACCTTGTTCTTTGCTTCATCTACTATTGTTAAAAAAAGGTTTGGAGTTAAAGTTAAAATAAAAAAGGCTGCATATTTGATTAAAAAAAAATAGAATAATATTGTGAAATATTTTTGCAATTTAAAATAACTGATTTCTATTTATTAGATTTGAAAAAGTAATTTATTCCTTTCATAGGAAAGCTGGATTTTCAGCATCATTACTCTGTCTTCAGTGTCACATGATCCTTCAGAGATCATTCTAATATGCTGATTCGGTGCTCAAGATTATTTATCAATGTTAAAAATGTTTTTATTTTCACTTGATGCATTTTATTGCATACATGTTGAACAAAGCATTATTTGCACCAAACTTTTGAACAGTAGTGTATGTTGAAGCATTTTATTATTAAATAAGCATTGCATTCATGTTTGTCTTTGATTAATGATATTTGTGCAATAATGAGGTTATTTTTTGAGGTTAACCTTTGCTACTTTGTTTTTGTCACTATTAGTCTCAGCGGTCTCAGACTGAAGCAGTCACATTTCTGGCAAATCATGATGATAGTAGAGCCCTGTATGCAATTCCAGGTAAACTTTAATATTCTAAAGTATTATTCTATATTTATTATTCTAAATAAATATTATTTATTCTAAATAACTTAAATATAACTTTTTAAGTAAACTATCCGATTTTCTACTAGCTTTGTATTGTTACAATGTGGATAGTAAATGTAAATGAACAGTGTTTGTACTCTTTCTCCATGTCACCCACATGGTTTATTTGTCAGCTAAAGTCTTTTGTCAACCCTAGGGCTTTTGTGAAAATGACATGTCGCAAGCTGTGTTCACAGCACACCATGTTATAATATAACTGTAAAAAGCCCTTAAATGCATGTAAATTTTGTAATTGCAACGTGTAAACTTGTAATTTTCTGAGAGTTATGACTTGTACCATGTAGCCGCTGTACCTGCCTGAAATATTTACATAATTGTAAAAAAAAACAGTGTAAAGTTCTTCTGCCACATACAGTTTTATTGAAAGCCCATTTTGTTAGTGGTAAATCGCTTCTTTAAATTTAGAGGGCAGCATTTTTATAAATTTAACATTATCTGCCTGTTATTTGTCTCATTCTTTTCATTTATTCCGTGTCTGCTAATGTCTTTCAGGTCTGGATTATGTGAGTCATGAAGACATCCTGCCTTACAACTCCACTGAGCAAGTCCCCATCCAGCATGAGCTGTTTGAACGCTTCCTCATGTTTAACCCCTCCAGAAGTAACTAGTCCTCTTTCAACAGTATTCAACTAATTCTAGTTCTGATGAAAAAAAAAAAAAAAAGAGTTTCGGATGGATTGCGTACTTACTTATTGTTTATTTAGATCCTCCATTCACTTCGAGAGACACCCTACGGGCCTGGCAGGAGAAGAACCATCCCTGGCTGGAGCTCTCAGATGTGCACCGGGAAACCACAGAGAACATCCGTGTGACTGTTATCCCTTTCTACATGGGCATGAGAGTAAGAATGAAGGGTTACAATTCTCATTACAATTGCAGAGGGCAGGTTACATTTTATTAAATGTATAGATTAAAATATATTATACACTATCATTCAAAAGTTTGGGGTTGGTAAGATGTTTTAATGTCTTTGAAAGTCTGCATTCATTAGTAAAAACAATAAAATGTGAAATATTATTACAATTAAAATAACTATTTTAATGTATTTTAAAAATGTAATTTATTTTTGTGATAGGAAAGCTGAATTTTCAGCAGTCATTTCTCCCATCATTGCAGCCAATAATCACGATAATAATAATAAAATAAAATAAAAAGTATAATAATTTTTACTATGTACCATTGGCTGATTGTTTAAAAACAGACGATGATCAGAGTCGACTGAATTTAGGGCAAGTTAACATAAGATAACGCATTTAAAAGAGCTTTGTTCTTTGTTACTTGCGATAAGAAACAAAGTCTCTGCTTCTTCAAATTCTGTCCATTTTATCACAAAATTCAAACAATAAATGGCGTTTTGATGCTCTTGAATGTGACGTGACCGATTGCTGTAGGGCCTCAGTTTAAGCGGCAGCACGTGTCATCTTTTCCACTTTAAGACAAGTTACAGCATGATAAAACATGCATTAACGTCAGAAGGTTTTTGAAAGATTTAGTACAACTTACCGACAAGAAAAATGTCTCATGTAATATCTCAATCACTGTTTCAACTGCGGAAAGGAATTATCCAATATTTGCATTTCGTTAGCTATAAAAAACAACAGAGAGGAGCTTTTTTTTATTTACTGTTAATAATATAACATCGGTGCATCTCTAGTGTCTATGTATATATATATATATATATATATATATGTGTGTGTGTGTGTAAAAAGAGTGTATTTGTATGTGTTTGTGCATTATTATTTATGCTAGTGAAATGAATTTTCTTTGTGGTCTTGATTCAGATTTGTTTTTCTATCCACAGGAAGCTCAAAACTCTCATGTGTATTGGGTAGGCCAAATTACCTAATTATGCTTTTTGTAATAACTCAATAAAAGGGTTATTTATGGAATGGCCATTGGTGACCTGTTAGAGATAATATGTTAATGTTTTCCTCAGTGGCGGTATTGTATCCGTCTGGAGAACCTGGGAAATGAGGTGGTTCAACTAAGGGAAAGACACTGGAGGATCTTCAGTCTCTCAGGAACTCTGGAAACAGTCCGTGGAAGGGGAGTGGTTGGCAAGGTGAGTTATTAGTCAGCAAAAGCACATACCAGAATTAAATTATTGAAATATGATATTGGTTTTGTAAATCCAATCTGTCATTCATCTCACCAGGAGCCTGTTTTGTCAAGAGAACAGCCAGCGTTTCAGTACAGCAGTCATGTTTCACTTCAAGCACCCAGTGGACATATGTGGTGAGATTATTAACATTCTGCTACAACTTCTACCAATGCATGCTTTACATTTTCTAAAATCATCTGTTAGATTGTATGGCTGAATGCTTGCGTTTGAAGGCTTTCACATACTTTTGATCATGTGATGTATGAATTCGTATTTTCACAGTTATTTTGCCTTGGCGTAATAAAGTGTGACTAACATGTTTTATTTCCTTGTTTAGGGGGACGTTCTGTTTTGAAAGGACAGATGGTTCACACTTTGACGTGCGCATTCCACCCTTTTCGCTAGAAAGCAATAAGTATGACAAAGCTCCCCCTACTGGCTATCCCTTGTAATAGACCTATAAGACTACCATCATGGCTCAGCTCAACATCCCTACAGGCTGTTTTCTTATCAGTGCTCCTTAAATATATGATGGCTTTAGCAAAGCATCCTTGAGTCTCTGACTGCAGCACTGGAAATGTGTAGCAACCACATATTTTAAAAGAAAAAAGACATGGCAAGATGAAATGAGGAGTTGATCTTATTAAATGGTATGATGCAAGTGCACCTCGAAAGGCCGTATTGAGAGATTTTGATTGTGATTTATTTTTTCCTCTATTTATTTGGAATGGCTGTGTTCATCGATTGAATAAGCTTATTAGCGTTAACCCAGCGTATTGTCCATTTATATCTTAAGTTCAAACCCCTCTTATACTTATTCCTTATATTCTGGAGAAGACCGTAAGTATATATTGAATGCTTTCTCCAAATGCAAATAGTCTAATTAATGACTTGATGCAAAGATTATTCTTTGGTCATGCTGAAGTCAGACAGTGAAATGTGGTTTGACTAAGAAAGCCTAGTGGGATAAAACTGTATTCGAGATCATCATCATCATCATCATCATCTTGAAAGTAACATTTGATCATATATTTGGTGTAGACTACTGGATGATGAACTATTTTACTGGTTACTGTAAATATGTTTGTAAAAGCATGAATAAAATGACATTTCCAATTTCTGTTTTTTTATTAAAAAGTATGTGCATCCACAATAGCAGCTGACATACTCTACAGAGAAGATAGTTAAAGGGATAGTGCTCCCAAAAAATAAAATGACTGTCATCAGTTACTCGCCCTTATGTTGTTCCAAATCTGTATGTTTCTTTGTTCTGTTGAACACAAAATATATTTTGAATAATGTAGGTAACCAAAAAGTTGAAGGTAGCCATTGACTTCCACAGTGTTTTCATTTTTTTAGTGAACTGTCTCTTTAAAAGGATCAATGAGGTAATGTCATCTCAATTACTTATCTATAATTATCTATATTTGTCTTATAGTTATATATGTAATATTTACATATTGATATTATTCCATGCTTCTTTTGTACGTGTTAGTTTTATTTTCAATGCCGAATTTTCCTCCTAAGAACAGCAGATGATGTGGCATGTGTTAAACACCAGATGTCAGCAAAGAATGACAACTATGACCGCAGTGAACAAGTCAATGATAAAATAACTTGAGGAGAATCTATTCCTACGCATATACGGGGATTTAAGATTGCCCGAATTTGTGAATGGTTCTTTTTATATCCTTTAAAGTGCTGAAAGGCGTCAAGTGCAGACATGGAGGAGTCCTAGTTGCGACCATATTCTCCACTTGGTTAACTGTACCATGGCTGTGGTACATTCTGGACTATAGATTGAAAAACAAGTGGAGGATGTTGCAGACCGCTCCACCCCTCCCGCACAGCCTGTGCCGAGACCCAGCGCCCCTCCGCTCCATCTGAGGGATGAGACCGTTCAGTCGCTCTCCTCTGAACACACCCAGCCCTCAGACGGGACACACCTGGGGAGGGGAGGTCAAATGAAAGCGAGAAATTATTCGACACGGCACATTTCAGCAGTGAACAGTGACATTTCCGCGGGCTGCGTGGAAGGAAATACTGGGATGACTTGTGCGAGAGGAAAACTGACAGACGACGTAAACATTTACATGTCCTTCTTCACAGCACTTCTGCTCGCCATCGACTAAACTCACACAGAAACCTACATCGTGTACGTATGAGATAATGCGGAGGAACTACGATGTTAACATGCTCAAACAGCGATTGAAATAAAAACACGAATCATCCTTTCGAAAAATTATGTTATAATTCTGTGGAACCGGACTGAGAGTTTCTGGAGGTTTATGGGACTACTCTTCTTTAATCTGCGGTCATGCTGAAGGCGTCATCAGATCTGTTCCCTACCTGAGGGACTCGAGGATTATTTGGAGTTTTTGACAGAAGAGGTCAATTATTAAGATTTGACCTAATTGGAGTGAATGAGTAGTTTGTCATGAAACGCGCAGTATTTTATATGTTTTGTCATCTAATAAAATTCCAAATAATTTTGCGCGTGCGGACCATAGACTGTAACGTTAGGTGCGGACGGATGATTTCTAAAGAGTAAACAACTGACGTTACACGAGTCAGCTGTGATGAATGATGTAAAAGTTGGACTTAATGCGCAGTAAACTACAGCACCCTACCTAAAACGCAGATTTGATTGGAAATTGGATGGCAAGTGTGCGAATTATTCAATGACTTTCTGTGAGGGCAACTTTTTAAGTATATTTTTTGAAGCGCAATCGGTTGTCTTGCGCAAATGGTCTTTGTGACGATCATATAGCGCAGTTAACCTTCTTCAAAACGTTTTGAACTAAACAAAAGTATTTTGTGTTATATTTGTGATGTGTACGTCTAAGATAATGTGATAAATAACGACAGTACAGTGTTTTTTTTTATGCACCGCCTGATACAAACGTCGATCGAGCAGCCGTTGCTATGGTTACATACGCAGAGGGGATTCTGTTAGTGAGAGTAAGTTATAAATTTAATGTAAACTTTTGTGGTTACGGAAACGTTGTTTGAATGCTGTTGAAACGTATAAATGCTGCTATGTAAAAGGAATACGTATTTCTAAGACCCCTATTTTTTTTTTTTTTTTTTTTTTTTTTTGTGGGGGTCCATCACCGTCCATGCCTTAAATGGGGATGGGGGTCGTACATCCCCCAAACACCTTGATAATTTACACCCTGTGAATGAATAATTTGTGAAAAGATTTGACTGATTTTTTTTTATTATAATAGTATACAATCTTATTGATCTAAATGTAAGTATTTTTTCTTTGTCAGGTGAGAAATGACAGGTGTGAGGTGAGCAGAAGGACTTTTAAAACACTGTTCTCCAATAAACTTAAATAGGAACGCTAAGGCTTATTTCTTATCTTCAATTGTTTCTTAAGAAATCTCACGTGCAATGTAAAGGACTTTAAATGAATGCATTTTGAAAGTATGCCCAGTCTGGAGGCCCTTTTCCAGGTTGAGACTCTATAACCAAACATGGGAGCGAAGCAAACGAAGGCTGCGGGACAGGAGGCAGGAGCGAGCCCTCAGAGCACAGGATGGAAACGGACCCCCACAAAAGACCGAAGTGACATCCTTACCTCTTTAATGTTGAGGTCAGGAGACAAACTGAGAAGCAGCGGGACTCCTCCTCCCTACCAGCGGCGCATCGGGATGATACAAGAGATGATGCTGATGGCAAAGCAGGGAAAACACGATGAGGCAACAGAGATGCTGAAGACTCTCCGGCAGGTACAAATATCAGTCCATGTTTCTTGTTGGTTAGCATTAAACTTAAACAGAGTTACAAAAGTTGTCAGACTTCTCTCACAGATGAGTTCTTGTCAGCTCTCATTTGAAGTTCATGAAGTTGAAGAGTTCCTAGTCAGTGTGGTAAAAAAAGCAATAAGCGTTTGGTCCTATAAGGTAAGGCTCTAGCGCACTAGTTGTTGTTTTTTAAGCCCCATGTGATTGCAATAGTAATGTTAAAATGACTAGAAATCAGATCACAAATATAAGAGAGGAAGTAACAAAATTGTAAGTACACACTGTAAGTATGTTCAGTTTACATTTTACTTCTGCAGCTTTTTGTTTCCATATGTTGGACCACTGTGGGCCTCCCAGCTGGTAAACATACATGTAGGCCCCAAAGCATTTGCCACACTGGCTGGATCTCTAAATCTGTCCTTGCACCCATGCAGAAACCACACTTTGCTTTACAGCAGAGAGCAATTGGGCCAAGATGTCAGTTCCATAATGGGCTGGAGTTGTTTTATAAGTTGTTGAAAGACAAAACTATGGAAGCTTGTTTTTTTCTTCTTCTTACAATTACGAGTTCACATCTCGCAATTGAATTTTTTTTTTTTTCAGAATTGAGAGATATAAAGTTGCAATTGTGAGTTATAAAGTCAGAATTGCTAGATACAAACTTGCAATGTGAGAAAAAAAATCTGTCTTTTTTTTCCTCAGAATTGGATTTTTTAACTCACAATTGTGACTTTATATCACACAATTCTGACTTGTTAACTCACAATTCTGACTCGCATTTCTTACAACTCACAATTCTGATTTTTTAACTCGCAATTCTGACTCGCAATTCTGACAACTCGCAATGCTGACTTGTAACCTCACAATTCTGAGAAAAAAGTCAGAATTGCTATATGTAAATTCACAATTGCGAGAAAAATGTCAGCATTGTGAGATGAAAAAGTTCACTATTACTTTTTTTATTTTTATTCTGTGGCGGAAACAAGCTTCCATACAAAACACACCATTGCTGTCACATTTGTTAGAAATATGGAAATATCTTGAGATCCCCAACTCTTTAGATTTTGCATCTCACAGAATTCAGTGCTATTGAGACAGATGCCCATTTCACAGTCCTGTGAACCTGTGAGAACAGACACAGCACAAGCTGGCCGAAGAGTTACACTGCACTGCATAAATACCAACTGTTTGCGTTGATTATGGTGCGCTGTATATTGAATGGCTGTCTCAGACAGATATGAAACTTTCTTGGTCTCAGTATACCAGTAAGATCAGGTCAGTGTAGATACGTGCTGCCAGAACTCTTGTCCCATTACTATTTTTTGATCCAGAATTCCTCAAGAGTAAGGATCATCTTATGGATTAGAAGTTAATCTATGTGCAGCAGGGATCAAAGACCGAGCTAATGGGGTTTTTTAATGCCCCATATGTAGCATTACATGAACTGCTAGGCGGTGACGAAGCAACAGGTGGCTTTGGAATACACTGTATTTTCAAAAGGTGTGAAAAAGTACACTTTAGCATACTTTGACAAAGAGTATTTATGTAAATTAATTCGAAGTATATTATTTTGTATTAAGTTAAATTCAAACTGAACATAATGTTTTAAGGCACTTAATTGCATGTAATTTACAATGAAATGAAAATATAGTTTAAATTTATAACAAATGACATGCTTTTAGGACTTGAAGTTGCAATTTAGAAAATTTAAAATATATGAACTTATATTAAATTAAAATAATCAGAATCAAGTACTTTACTTCAGCATGTGAGTCAGCACATCAGAATAAAAGTTTTTAATAAAATTAATAATTTAATAATTATAATTAAATAATGTAATTTTAATTTGCCATTGTTACAAAGTGCACTTTTTTAAAGTACTTAAGAGTGTACTCTCTCTAAGTGCACTTGAGATATCTGCAAGTAAAACATTTTTTTAAACAATATTCAATACTATTAAGCACACTTCTTTTTCACAAGGGGAAGCTTGTTATCATATATATATGAAGAGTTCAGATGCAAAAGCCTCTAAATGCCATTTGAAATTTTCTTCTTTAATGATGATTTTTATCAAACTTGTATATTTAAGTTCAGTAATTTCACTTAAATAACAATTAATAGGTAATTATCATTGCCATTTAAGTGAAATCACTGAACTTAAATATACAAGTTTGATAAAAATCAACATTAAAGAATTACATTTCAAATGGCATTTAGAGGCTTTTGCATCTGAACTCTTCATATATATATATATATATATATATATATATATATGGTAGATTTACTGGAATGCATTTGCTGGGTATCCTGCAATGGGGGCTAAAGCACATAATGTGCAAGAAATAGAGTCAAAGGACAGCGTCTCTTGTCCAGTGGTTACCAAGTGCACCTTGTTGCCCGGAAACCCTGAAAATGGATGGGTCTTTGATTAAATGGAAATCAATTAATCAAGATTCATCCTGCCATAGAGGTATGCTAATGATGATGATAAACCAAGGCTTTTGCTCAGCATGCACTGTCTAGGTCCAGGTTTTTATTGACAGAGGTCTAATGTTAGAGAAATTCATTATTAAGTCCATGTTATATGTAGTAACATTGAAATTATTCAGCCTTTTCTCTTAACAAAAACTAACCTTCCCTGAACTCTTCACTTTGTCATACTAATGATTATTTGCTTTCTGTCACACCCACTTGTTTTCCGTTGATTATTTAGTTCTGACTGCAGAGCCCTCACCCCCACACACATTTGCAATTTTTAAAATTGCTGACCTCCTGTCTGCCCTGTTGCTTTCCAGATTGCAAATGTTCAATTATGTAGATTAACTTTTCCTTCAGTTTGCCTTGTTTTGCAGTGTTAAAGGATTTTGCTTTCTAGGTCCACATTTTGATAAAGGCAATATCAATTAATGATTTCAGTGATGTGAACAGGCAAACATGAACAAATTGACTCAGCTATTGTTTGTTTGCAAAGCACAAATTTACAAAAGTACATGGCCTTCAGGTGCATATAAATGTGACATGCACCTTTACATAGAACCCTTGAATCCACATGTGACAAATATTGCAAACAAAAAGATGACATGTTAGAGAATCAGAATTCAAAAATAAGCAGTCATTCAGAGAATGTAATTCCCATTTGCTTGACCTTGCTGTATTGTGTCTTTTTTTCCAGGATCTGGGAATGGAGTCAACCTCTCTGGACGATGTTCTCTACCGCTATGCCAGTTTCCGCAACCTGGTGGATCCCATTACCCATGACCTCATTATTAGCCTGGCCAAATACATTCACTGCCCAAAGGTATGGTGCTCAGCTTTTTTTTTGTGACATTTTAAACCTAATCCCTTTCACCTTAACATAAACATAAACAAACAGGCTTTACTAGTTCTGCATCCTCTATTTCTGTGCATTTCTTGTATGTTGTGTTACATTAATATTTAACGAACATCTTAGAACTCTGCCTGGAAGGCACAGCAGATGGATGTGAAAAATGGACGTATCATTCCAGTGCAGTGAGCATTAGGATAAAACCCAGTTGCTTAAGCATGTGTGAGTCTGTGTGTGTGAGGGAGAAGCAGAGATGAAGAGAGCGGAGAGGGTAGAGGCAGAGGGAGGTGTACTTGGAGATGAGTCACACACAAGCCAGTCTGCCCTCTTCCAAGACTACTGCTGCTGCTGCATGTAATGAAGCAAGTCAGGCACTATATCACACCACTAACACCCTGCTCAGCTCCTATAGAGAGCTGCACAAACACCTGCCCACCACCAAAACAACATTGAGTGAGGATGCTGCCGATTGTTTTCTTTCACGGAGTTCATCCTCCCTTTTCTAACCAGATGAACTTGTGTTAGATTCATGAAATCTGTCAATAATATGTCCTGGTTTTATTTCACCCCAAAGCCAAAAGAAAACTATGACATAATATTTCATATAATAACGAAAATAGGCTCATTAATATATATATTATAATTTTTTCTATTAAGCATACTCCCTCCTTCAGTGCTAATGATCATAACACAAAAAATTAAAAATGTATGTATTTATATGTATATTATATATACATACATAATATGTATGCATGTATGTATGTATATATATATATATACTGTATATAAATATATACTGTATATATACATATATATACACATGTACATACATACACACAGTATATAGGTCTCAATTAAACTTGATACTTGTATTCAGCAAGGATGCATTAAATTGATCAAAAGTGCCAATAAAGGCATTTATAATGTTACAAAATATTTCTATTTCAAATAAATGCTGTTCTTTTTATCTATTTATCAAAGAAGAATGGGAAAAAGTATCAGGATTCCACAAAAAATATTACGCAGCACAATATTTTCGGCATTGATAATAATAAAAAAATGTTTCTTGAGCAACAAATCACTATATTAGAATGATTTCTTCATCATGTGATGCATTCAGCATTGTCATCACAGGACTAAATTACATTTTTAAATATATTAAAATAGAAATCAATTACTTAAAATTTTAATAATATTTCAGAATGTTACTGTTTTACTAGTATAAGAGACTTTGCTGATCCCAAACATATATGTATATATTTATGTACAAATAAAACAAAAATGGTAATTTTTTACTTTTATGGTGAAATATGAGCTAGACATAGATTATTTTGCATCTGTTCTCCAAACTGGGAGGGCTGGAGACTATCTAAGCATTTCAGCTCCCATGTGGTGGAAAAACCCTGGCCAGATGGCTAGTCCATGACCTGGACATTATTGCTAGAAAATGGTATGCAGCCTCAGAAACATGCATATGCAAAAACTTTTTTAACCAAGCTGACATAATGAAATGTTAACTAACAGTGGGAAGAGTTCACGCAAGTATGTAAGGTGACATTGCTGTAGGTGATGTTATTGTAAGTAATGGAGGGAGACAAATTAGAGACGAGCTCAGTGATGTGACGAAAGGAAAGCTGGGCTGTCTGTTACACTCTCAGAGCTGTCAGAGCAAGCTGGGTGTGTGATTACACTGCCTAGGGACCCAGTGTCTGTCTGCAGGGGGATACGCAGCACCAATGCTGACCAGCCATGTGGCTCTGTTAATCTCACCGTCAGCAGCAACTAGGCTTTACCAACAAATAGGGTGCGTTTTCCACAGGCATAGTTCTATCTCTGATCCACTGCAGAGGTCAAGACCCGGTGCAGCGGAGAGACATGTTAGCGGGATTGATTTACATATTGATGTTTCCAGTACGGATACAGACACCTGAGCACAGACAATGTGCCCTTGATATAATACTATGTTACTGTTATCTTGGATTCAGGGCAAAAACAAATCTAATTTGGCCAAGGGTAAGACCTATAGCAATTTTGTCCCAGCCCTCTGAGTTTTCGCAACCACTCTACTTGTAGATATATTTTTGTAGCTTAGGTTCCTTTTAGGAGCCTAGAGTTTATACGTGAAAATATAGATAATTGGTAATCTAGTCAGGTATGGGCAGTGCCGTCTCATTCCCTGCAGTGCACTGAACCTGATTTATTACCTGAAGCAAATCAATGTTATTACAGTGATAAACCTCTGTACATTTCAGCTGTGATTAACCCAAGATGAAATTACTGTTAGAATGGACATTGAAAAAATAAAAACTCATATCCAAGGTTTCATCTTTGCAGTTCCTCATAATATGAAATGTGTTCCAATATCATAGCCAATGTTATTTTAGTATTATTTATATACTATTTAAGTATTTATTAATATTTTGATTTAGCTTCTTTTTTTAAATAGCATTAATTTGTTTTGTTTTAGTCATTTTAATGATTTAACTTTTCAACAGTTTATTTAAGTTAGTTGCCAATCTATATTTTATTTATTTCAGCTATATTTCAATTAACAAAATCATTTAATAGATTTAACAATAACAACACTGATCACAGCATAATGGTTCAGATTTAATTATGGAAGCATCATATATCGATTTTATATTTTTTACTTAATTTTTAAAAAATTAATTAATTGCCGTATTAGTTTAATCAATTTAATTGTGTATTTCACTATTTACTGTCATCCAAAGCTCATCCAAAACTTCAATTTAAACGTTAAATGTATCTAATTATTTTACACAATTAAATGTAATTTTAAAATGAAGTTCCATTTTTCATACTCTACATTCTGAAGTTGTGAAGCCTATTTTTATTTGTAGCATTTAAAGCAAGGGATTTTAATTTGTAATATCTATCAGCTACCTATTTGTTATCATCCAGAACAATTAAATATTTATGTTTAATTATTGGCAACCCTGCAAGAGTATGCAGTCCTTTTCTTTTTCGGTAACTTAAGTGTTAAGCATTGGCAGAAATTGTTTCTGCTTAGAAGAGTGTGGCAGTTACTTGAGTGTGTACGAGTGTTCGTGTCTCACTGCAAATTGGATTGCTTTAGGCAGTGATGAATGCGAGTAAAAATAATAAAGCTTTCCAGAGAGGGCTGTACAATACATCAATATGCCACTAATATATTACTTGCTAATGCATTTTACCATGGACACCAAATCCCACACATACACATTCACTGAACCTCAGATGACCTAATGATATAGTCAGAATGAGTTTGTGATATCGGTCAGTCCGTTTACTTTGCTCCTGTCATCACAAATGTCAAAGAAATTAGTATTTTACCTTGAGGGCTCAGAGACACTGATCTTCTGCCAGTCCCCATTAACCTGTTGTGTGTTACAGCTTGATTGATGCGATCTCTCCCTTTCCATCTTTGTCAGGAGGGAGATGCTTTGGGTTCCATGGAGAAGGTTTGTCGTCAGCTGACCTACCACCTGAGCCCACACTCCCAGTGGAGACGGCAGGGGCTGCTGAAGAGGAAGCCACAGTCCTGGTGAGAAAGCAGAACTGACAAGCAGAGGGGGTCTCAGATTTAGGCTGTGAGGGCAAATGCTGCCTTACTTTAAACCTCATTTTACAGCGCTTTTATTCTTGTTTCATCTCGACTTGTTTCTTTTATCAGGGTTCCCACGATTAATGTATTTGGTGATAATATTAAATGTGCATGTAACTATAATCAATACACATTTTATAGTTATCACATACACTACTACTACTGTTGTTTATTTATTTAATCAAAAATGCAGTAATATTATGAAATACTGTTACAATTTAAAATTAATATATATATATATATATTATTATTTTCAAAATATATTTCGAAATGCAGTTTATTCTTGTGATGGCAAAGTTGCAGTCATTATTCCAGTCTTTACTTCCCCATGGTCCATTAAGTCATTCTAATATGCTGATTTGCTGATCATGACACATTTATTATTGTTATAAATGCTATAGAGACGGTATAAAAGAACAGCATTTATTTGAAATCAAATCATGAATCACAAATAATAATATTTTATATAATAACTTCTATTTTGAATATACATTTTTCTATGTGATATGCTATATTGCTCTTGTTTATCAATCAATCAATCAAATTCTATTTATATAGCACATTTTCCAAATAAATCGATGCAGTTCAATTGGTTTACAGGCAAGAACAAGCAATTTACACTAAAATTAAAACTAGGTTACAAACCATAGTAATTTACAATTTTTAAATGAATCATCATTTTAAATGGAATCTTTTCAATGAGTCAATGATTCACAAATGATTCAGTGATTCGTTAGCAATAGTCGATATTTATCTAAATTATTTTTTAGGAATGGACATTTATGTACTGTGGGAACACTTTTCTTTTTGTTGTCTTTTCTTTCTCTCTCTTTTTCCTCTTTTGTTTCATTTATTTTCTCATTTTCTTTCTGCCGTCTTGCTCTCTATTGCGACATACGTTCTTTATTTCACATGAAAACATTACATTCTACATTACATTATAAATTGTTTTGATGCTCATATTCTTCAGCCCACATGCAGTAGCCTAGTGGCTCGCAAGTGCCGCGCTTTGTTCATTAATTAAAGTAATTAGTTGGTTTTAAAATAAAAGGCTTTCTGACTTTGCAGAGCAGGCAGTCAAAATGAATCATTGCTTTGCCACTTGTTTGTCCCTGTACTGATTCGTCAGCACTTAGGGATTAATTACGCTTTAAAAAACGCATGGCTAATGGAGCATCTCATTTGAGATTTGGGTTGGGTCCTACACTCCTGATATCCTCAAATAGTTTTAATAAACAATATCTGATATCTCCAGAACAGCTGTGTATAACATCCAAATCGCATCACCTATGAATTGGCTCCTTAACTGGGCTTTTAGTGGTTTTGCCTCCGTCCATTGATGAAAAGAGCTCTTGAATTTCCTGACTGAGTCAGTGAATAAAAGAGCAGCCTCCCACTGCGTGCTGTGTGTTTGTTTGTTTTTTGCTAACACATGGTTCTGTGGTGGAGACTCATACGTTTGTGGCTCATTTCCAGCTGCCATTAATATAGTCAAAATACAGACTGTGTAATGTGTAAATTAGGAAATGCTAGGCTTTATTTATTTCCTGTGTCGATGGATACACTTTAGATGAGCTTAAGCCTTTATTCCGTGCTTAACTCACTCTAGTGGTGTGCAAACTTATGTATGCAAGGATAAATCAGCTGATCTCCCCTACCGCAGTTCATTCACTGCATTGGCTGCTGTGGTAAAGCAGGAATGTATGTGTTTATGTTTTGAGATTCAATAGCCTTTCCTTTTTATACACTTCTGTTGTGTGTTGTCTATAATTCACCAGGCGCAGCGTTGTTTGTCTGAGTCACACCACACGTGGCCCTCCATTTGTTACCACTTGTGATGTTTATGGTGGTGTGGGTTATTGTCGCAGATCTGATTGCAGCTGTTGGGGTTTAAAAAGGGAATTGTTTCTCAGTTGTCCGTGTGCCTCTGAGGCTCTCCTTATTCTCTGTTTGAACTTCCTCAGGCATTTTTGTTTGTTCTACCTGAACTCCGAGTTTACTGATGTGATTTCATCAGATCATTAATAATGAGGCTGTCCAGGAGAAATAGGAGTTCTAATAATTTCACAGCCCGAAGGTGCAAACAGAAAAGAAAAGGGAAGTGATTAACTAAAATGATAATTCAATTCTGTCACTATTTTCTCAATATCAGGAAACCACATAAATGTCTTTCTTGCATGGATTACACTCTAAAAAAAAATATGTCTCCTTAAATTTAAATTGGTGGGTTATGGTTAGGGTTAGTCCTAATGTTCCTTTTTACAAAATGTAAAATAAGTCTCTGTTGTCCCTAGAGTGTGTATGTGAAGATTTAGCTCAAAATACCCCACAGAATACTTTTTACAGCATGTTAAGATTATACTCGTCGTTTCGTGTGTGTCCCTTTAAGTGCAAATTAAGTGCTTTTCCTGGCACAAAGGTCAGAGGTTCAAGAGTGTCTCTGTGTGTGTGTGTGTGTGTGTGTGTGTGTGTGTGTGTGTTTAATATATATGATGAAAAGAGCTGTTGAATTTGCAGATTGAGTCAGTGAATAAAAGAGCAGCCTCCCACTGCGTGCTGTCACTGTGTGCTCTAAAATATGAAATCAATTGCCAGTGGACATTAGAAATTCTACCTCATACCTTATATTCTCACACGTCTTAAGGACGGGCTTTTTAGCATACCAAAATGTGAACTCCTCTTATAATATTTAATGTATGTGTTTTTTATTATTTAATGTATGTGTTTTTTTTTTTAATCTAATATTTATATTTTATTTAATTTCAGGTTTGTTTTAATGAACGAAAGCCATTTTAAATAGTTTTAGTTAACAAAAACAGCATTGAAAATGATCCAAGTCTTCATTATGATTTCATTTTGAACTCATTTTATCATTTTGTCTCCTTTAGTTACCCTTTCTCTTTCCCTTCCCTCTCCTTTAATGATTCCACCCTCTCCGCTCTACTGTTGACTAAGTGCTAACATGACCTTAACCTCCTCCACAGATAAGAGTGTGACAGTCTCTCAGACAGGTGTCTTTTTCTCTCTTAGAGAATTCGTACGCAACAGATGTTTGGCTGCGGTATGCATGTTTATGTGAGCATTGCATTACTCATAGTGTGTGTGCAGTTTTATCTATGTGCTTGCGTACAAATATTTACACTGAAGCTACATCAATTCTGATTTGCAATTCTACATATACCTGGGGGAAATTATACATCTGCTCTGGATTTGTTAATCTGTTACCTTAAGTGTAATCTCAAATGTACACATTATATTTGTATACATTAAAGATTATTCATCAGCACAGTGGTATTTGCACTGTAAAAAATTATATGATCAATAAGTTATGACATGTTTTAACATCGCTTTAACTCCTCAAAATAAGTTAAGCAAGTTATACAAGATTCAACTATTTTCTTTAATGTAATTTAATGTAAATGTTGTTAAATGACTTGATTGTACTTAAAAAAAATGAAGGCAGCAACTTTTTTGCAGGATATTGCCCAAATGCAATATAAGTTGATTGTCAAATTGCTAAATGCAAATTAAACGATATGAAGAGGTTTTTACGAACGCAAGATATCTGAAAACTGCTGTTGTGTGAAGTAAAAATATTGTTACATATTTGGATTGCTTCTTCGAAACAAAACCTGTTAAGTGGAATCTGATATGCCTTAGACCTACTACATGACCTCTATTGTTGAGTTATAGCTGGACTGAAATGTGAAGTGTATTGCACTGGTCTGCATGTGATGAAGCGTTTGCGGTCCATAACAAGCAGCTCACAATGCAGTCTGAGGATGAAGAATATCTTCCTCATCTACAGGCAGGCTGAAGCTTTCTAGACTATCATCTCCAGGAGCCAGTTGCACCAACAGGGCTTTACTAAGCCTGGTCCTAACTGCTAAGTAGGTCTTAGTTAAAGGGTTAGTTCACCCAAAAATGAAAATTAAGTCATTAATTACTCACCCCCATGCTGTACCAACCCCGTAAGACCTTCGTTCGTCTTCGGAACACAAATGAAGATATTTTTGATTAAATTTGAGAGCTGTATAACTACCACATAGGCTCCTAAGGGACTGGCTCTTGACGGCCCAGAAAGTCGATGAAGAAAATGTTTAAATATTCCATGTGACTACAGTGGCTCAATTATAAGTTTATTAAGCGACGAGAATACTTTTTGTGCGAAAAAACAAACAAAAATAACTTAATTTTCATTTTTGGGTGAACTAACCCTTTAAGACCAGTCTTTAGAGTTGACCTAATGTTGGTCGCACCAACCAAACTTAAGCCTAGGTTTTCCTATGCCTGGTCTTAGCGTTACCCGTTCATGTGAATGGCCACGGAACTCTAGTGGTTGCCTAGCAGTGTGCGTTGCTGGGTTACGCTGTACACTATCTTCTACAGTTTTGTTAATTTGTAGCTATATCAATGGAGGATCAAAGAAACAGGAAAGGAAATTTCCCAGACATCGAGATACTTAAGTTAATAGAGCTGTACAGTCAGCACAGGCACACACTGAACGTGTGAAACCAATCAAATGCGTGCGTGACTTAACGCCTGCTACTGACTAGGCGTAAGATTTACGCCATCTTAGCGAGAAGAGGACTTGGATGGTGCAACCGTCGTAACTAGGTCGGACTTGTAAGCTGAGTTAAGACCAGGCGTAAGCCCTGTTGGTGCAACCAGCGCCTGATGTTTTATCTATAACTTTAACATATGATCGGCCTCCATAATACCCACATTAATGGCAAACTCGCTGGCCTGCATGGTATTTGATAGCTAGAATTGTTTAACTGTGAGGGGAGAAGATGGATAGAGAGCTGTGTTAAACAAAAAAGTATTTGCGAATATAAAATAGGACTAGAAGAGGGTGTGGAATATGGGCTGTTGTGAAATCATACTGTCATCTCTCAGGCATGTCTGCTGAACACTTTCTGCCTTATAAATTTTCCCTCCTATTTCTCATCCCTCTATTTTCTCCTATTTTGTTCTCTTGAGTCTTTCTAATGCCACCTCTCCCCAAGAAATTACCTCACAGTTCTTCCTTTTGCTAGATTTTCAGTAGCTTAAGCTCTCCATTTTGTGCCTCGTTTTCTCTTGTTGTCTTCTTGTCCTTGCCTGCTCATGCTCTTTACTGCCTGAGTGCAGAAACATTAGGTTCTGATTGTGGCATGATAATGCAATAGGCTATTGGTATTCATTCCTGTCATGTTCCTTACAGCTGTCTGCATTTCTGGCTTTCTCAATTTCATTCCATGTCTGTCTTTATTCTAGCAGTGACTTTGATGTTTCGTTTTGCACGTGGCTTCCAATTAATGGTGTCTTAACATTGATGCTTTTGCATTGATTTACATAGCCATCCAGAAAGATGTCATGTCAGAGTTACTGATGCCTGCGAGGCTGAGTAAAAGACCTGTTTGACAGAAGAGAATGTAAAATAGCTTTAAAATAAACGAACTTATTACACAAACAGCTTAAACAAACCTCCTGGCACTTTACACTAATTGGCTACAAAATTGAGCCTGAACATCTAAAAAATGTTAGTTGTTCTAAGCGAGAGAACCCAATTGCAGTTTATTCAAAATAACAAACAAGATGAAAACAAATGGCATGGCACAACCCCAAATACAGTAAAACCAGTAATATTTTGAAACATTATCTCCGTTTTAAACAACTGTTGTTTGAATATATTTTAAAATAGAATTTATTCCTGTGATGGCAAATTACTCAGTCTTCAGTGTCACATGATCCTTTAGAAATCATTCTAATATGCTGATTTGCAGCTCAAGAAACATCTCTTATTATTATCAATGTTGAAATCAGTTGTGCTGCTTAATATTTTTGTGATGCACACTGACCACAAACTTGTAATGTAAATGATGGATTTAAAGTTATTTTCTTTTAACCATTTTTTAGAAAACTACAAATTATTTTATGGGTTAGGTGTTTTTCTTCCATCTCTGACAGCATGTGGATGAATTGTAACAATGCAATTCAGGATGGCGTATCTCTGACACCCTCCCACCCACCTGCTGCCCAGTCTTTGCCTTATCTTCAGTAATCGAAAGGGTTCATTTCTGTTTAGCTGAGAAATGAGAAACTTCAACCTTATAATTTTCGGTAATTAAGTCGAACCTTCTTTCCAATCTATCCCAATGAAGTAATCACCTGATTTCATTTAGTTTCACTGGAAAGAGGATTTTTCACAGCACACACCTGCTGTCGGGTCGATAATTAGTCTTACTCTTGTGTGAGAAAAGAAATGAGTGCTGGAAGTAAAGACAGCATTCTAACCGTAGAAATGAAGACATGGGGCAGACAAAATGTATTGCTTGCCACTATCTGCTTTTTTTTTAATTGAAGGGTTATTTAAATTTCAGATAAATTAAAAAGTTGCATTAAATAAATTAAGCATTACGTAGATTGAATGAACAAAATATCTCTGATTATCCTTTCCAGTTTAAATAACTCCGGTAAGATTATATGCAACCAATGATTCCTCAGACCGGAGAGTTATTTAACCTGTTAACTTTCACAACCCCCTTTTTGAGAAATGAGCATAGATCCAAACTTAAATGGTTGTAATTTCTGAATGCTTTGGAATACAGACCTAAGGTTGGTCTCAAGACACTGAGCAAATGCAGAAGTGAAAGCACTCCAAAAATGTGTAGAAGTTTAAAAATGTGAACTAAACTTTATTTTATACAAAATGTATATTGCAAAATAATGTGGACTCTAATTTCTAGAAAATCAAAGCCATATATCTAATTAAAATTGCTAAATTGAGCCAGCTAAAAGGATTTATAGTACATTTTTCCATGGTTACACAATGTCCAATTTTCACAGAATGAATTTAGAATGTTTAAGCTTTGGAATGATACATCATTTATGATGATTACTAAAATATGAGATTGAAAAAAAAAGCATTTTTGCCAACTGTTCCATTACTGGGACACTGACAATCAACAGGCCATGCAATTAATGCATTTGAGTTTTTTTTTTTTTAATAAAAATCTGTTTTATAAAGAACAATGTAACAAATATTGTTATGGAAAAGTATTTGAAATGCTCTTCAAATTCTCTGACATAATGAAAGTCACTTGACAAATATCATTTTGTTAATAGATCATTTGAATATTTCTGCTTAACATCACTCCTTTTGGAAATGATCAAATGCTGTGAGGAGAATGTAAGTGGGTCAGATGCATTCCGGGTGAGGTTGTCGAGAGAGGGAAAGGCTTTTTCTCTTATAGAGCGTGGGATTCGGGATACTTGCCAGTAATTTCGGGAGAGTTGATATCCTGTTCGGCTTTAGCCATTTCCTTGACATTGCTGCTGTTTTATTTGCTAGGTCAATGACAGGATCAGAGCGGGGCTGGAAATGTATCATTCAGAATGAGCATAGCATGTCAAATCAGGATGTTATTATTCTTCTCTCTTCCGCAAATGCTAGTTGAATAAGATATATGCGAGTCCTGGTGTGAATTAATAATGGCCACATTATGAATTAGTATTCTTGCCGTTTCTGTTCTTGCTTTCACTCTTTCTCTCTTCATTCTCACACTGGCAAGCTGTGGTGACACACTGAGCTGATTATGAGTTTGCTGCATGTGCAGCGGTTACAGCAACGCATTTGTTCTATTTTACTTAATAAACCAGCTTCTCTTCCAGCCTTCTTCATCTGTTCCCCACTATCACTCCATTTATATCTCTCTTTAGGTTATTAATCCATACTTGACAAATACAATCCTACATCATGATTTAATTAACTTTTACATTTTATGCTGTTTGTATTTCCAGGGGCTGTTTTGGATCTGTAATGCATTTACAGAAAATGAATCCTTTCAATCAGATCTCAATTATTCTCAATGAGCCGATATGAGTTAAAAAAAAGAGAGAGAAAAGTAAACGCTGGTTTGGGTTTCAATAAATTAAACTGCATTGTCTATCTTTTATTATTATAAAATTGAGTTCCTCAACAGTTTCGAAAGCCCTCTTTGCTCTACTCATACAGTTTAGCTTCCAGTTTGCCCCTTCCCTACACGTCTTCTTTAGGCACTAATGATTGTTTAAATTACTCTAGCAATTGGAGTACTTTAATTTGTAGAAATCTGTTACCAGATCAGAGACATTTTGTACAATATAATGGAAAGTTGTTGCCACAAAGTGAAATGTAATGGCCATAAATATTTGTTGCCTTAATAATGTACACAAACTGTATTTTGTGTTATTTTAATTAAATTATTTAATTAAAATGTTGATTGTTTTATTTTATTTTATTGTTTTTATTTCTTTATTTGCAGGCTTTCTACTAAATTGCATCTGTCATAAGTACATGAATAAGATATATTGTGATTTTATTACTTGTATATTCATTTTAGTGGTTTGATGTGATGAATAGCCTACAGATAATACATGGAGTTTTGGAGAGAGAGAAAAAAACTTTAGACATCCAAGATAGTAAAGTCCAGTCAAAGTTTACTTATACAATATATCAAAAAGCAAAACGCTGATTTCACGCAGCCGCCATTTTGAAAAGGCTCTGGTGGGAAGAAGACCGGAAGTGTCGCCTTTAATCATAGGAGAGTCGCGAATGCGATGGCGTATTGTTGTGTTTAATGTAGAAATTACTTATTCTAAAAATGTACATACATTTCTTTCATACTTTAGACTATATACAGTGAAATTCATTTATAAATAAAATTATTTTTATATATATAATTCAGAACGTAAAAAAAGAAGCAGGAACGAACTATATACATATCCTATCTTGGATATGAACATCCAATTGTGTAAATCGCGTCAGCAGCTTCAGGTTGGTAGTCCAAGGCATTGTTGTCTATCTGTACTTCAGGGGTTCTTCCCACCGACCGGAGCCTCGCTTTCGATTTCAAAATGGCGTCTGTGTGAAATCAGCGTAAAGAAGGTGACCCAAAGTGCTGCACAAATATATATATATGTGTGTATAATATATATAACCTTTCAAATTCAAACTACAAAGTTGCCACATAATGTTTCAGTTCCTAAATTACCAGACAACCAAGCAAGTGTGTCCTCCTAGTTCCCTTATTAACTGTTTAAAATTTTAGAATTCTTAATATTTCCTTCCTCCAGGTATTATTTAATATTAGATCAAATATTCTCTCCTCCGGTTCTGATTTATAAAATTCAATAAAAAGTTAATTCCCCCACATCCTCACACATTCTTACTCTCTTTCTGCTTTTATTTCTCCCTAGTCTGAAATCAGTTCTTTCAAGCACTCCATCCAGTGGAGCATTAGACCTGTCCGGCATCCCTCTTGGAGTGAAAGACATGGAGCGTCTCTGTGCCTACCTTCATCACCACGCGTCCCGCATCGGCAGCATAGAGTTGGGCTTCACCGAGCTCACAGACGATGCCTTCCTCCTTCTCCTCCCCACGCTGGCGTCCCTTCCCCGCCTCGAGACTCTGGCCCTCAATGGCAACAGGCTCACCCGTGCTGTGCTCAAAGAGCTCACGGACACGCTGAAGGACCCGGACAGCTTCCCCAACGTCACCTGGATCGACCTGGGGAACAACGTGGACATCTTCTCCCTCCCACAACCGTTTCTGGTGAGCCTGCGCAAGCGCTGCCCCAAAAAAGGCAACCTTCCCACCATCCTGGAGTTTGGCGAGAGCCAGGCCAGCGAGCCGGAGGGCCGAGTGGACGAGGACGACGCCGATGATACGAACAGGACAGAGAGCATGGGAGAGCTCAGGTCTGAGGTGGAAGAAGAGATTGACGGTGAAATGGAGATCGAAGACATGATGGAGGAGTTGCTGGACTTTGACAGGGAGGTGCAGGGCAAGGAGGAAGAGGAAGACAGTTTGTGGACCTTGGAGGAGCAGCGGTTGGTAAAAGATCCGATCGCAAATTGGAGCAAAGAGAAGAGGCCGCCCAAAGCAGAGGGCGAAGAGTACTTTCAAAGCCAGTCTTCCCATCGGTCTTGCTCCAGTCCGTCACAGCACTCCTCTGGAGCCATTGAGCCTTTAAGAGAAGACTCTGTCCCTGACCAGTTAGCATGTCATTCGAACAACCCTACCTGATTAAACAGCCACTGTCTAAAGTGATTAGAAGCTATAACCTTAGTCCCTTTAAGAAAAAGAGAGTGCAAGGAGGAGTGTGACAGGCTTGTTTTCAGACTGGGTTGTTCAAGAAGTCATGTGATTCTGCAGGTTTTATAGGTTTAACAATCGTAGCGGTTGTCTGTTGTTGCAAAGGAGAAATGAATTACTTGTGAGGTACAAAAAATATCAAATATACTTTCTCATTCAGGTTTTCCCCTCTTCACTGTCATAACCATGAACCTCTGTGCCTATGTGCCTGTTCAAAACCCTGCTGGAGAGGCATGTGTGTAGATGTGTTGGATATAAGCAGATTGGCTTGGGTTTCATGAATCAATGTGTCCATCTATGCATCTGATTGTTGCAAGCATCACATTTTCTCCTGCAGTGGAAAACAACCGAAATTCTTTTTCAGTATCAGCAAGTGAATATGCATGTCCCGGGTGTCAGGTGGATGGGACGCAGATGAGATCATTTTAAGTGCCCCTAATTTATACAGTGGAAAACCAAAATCTCTTGTCACAGTGTTAGAACAAAATCAACGTGTTTGCATGATACGGAGCAGCGGGACTTAAGCCAAAGAGAAAAGACTCGCTAGACAGAACAAAGTGTCGTTTGGCTGCACAGTATATATAATGCTGATATTCTGTTTTTGTTACCTGACATGGATTTTGAAGACTATATGTGGTTTCTTAGCTCTATTCTTTAGAAGAGAACCTTTTACCACTAAAATAATATTGTTTCATTTTTATTTATCGTTTTTATCGTTTTTTTTTTTTAAATAAAGGTATTTCATTGTATAAACATCTATTTAGTGCCTAATTGGAATTTTACATTATTCAAAGTAATTCTGATATGCCAGTAAATTAAAGTATTGTTTTAATGACAGTGTACTATATTGAATTGTCATAATGGATTTTTCTTGTTTTATGTATTTAAAATGCCCTAATTGAGAATTATGATTTATATTATAGCCATTTATACTGTAGTACTTTGTATAATATCATAATATGCTTACCTGCAAAATAGTGTTCAGTGTTGTTTTTCTTTTTTTAAGTAGAATTAAGCTCCCACCCCAAAATATGGTTTATAACATAAATTATTAAAGGAATCTCCTGTAACTAATCTATTTCAGATTATCATGTCATTTTATGATCACCACGTATAGCCTATAATTGTTCTGCTGTGTTTCAAAGCCATAACATCTTGACAAGTTGTGCCATTACAGAGTGATAAATATAAAAGTGCACTGAAGAGCTGCGTTCATTGACTTTGTTAGTATTTCTGTAAAGCAAGGAGAATGTTAGGAACGACAAACAGCAATAGGTGTATAAGATTATTTGTAAACAAAACAAAATGTATTTGACTGTTGGCATCAAAACCAATAAACTTTTAACAATTATACACTTCATGTATGCGTTAAAGGCACATACAATGTTGGGCTGTTGGAAATGTGGTGAATTGAACGAGTCTTGTGAAAAGGACTAGTATAAACTTTTCATAATCGATGTCGACATCTAGTGGTTGGTAGTTCTTACTTGCATGGACTGGCTTGTTTTATGGTTTTATGTAAACGACTGTGTTTGCGTACTTCCGTTTCCACGACCTTTGACTAAATTAGCGAATGAGGCTATATAATAAGTAAATTTATTTAAGAAAGAATGGACCAGCGAGGCCAGAAATACGATTTAGACGGCTGGATAATGCTTTTTTAACTTTTGTTTTTGAACATGATGGTTGGTTAGCTAATCATTAGCTGGTAAGTTGTTATGGTACTGTAACTGGTCAGCCAGCTATGATCAGCACAAGTTGATGAGCTACCTTGGACTAGTTAATTACCAGTTTGGCCAGCTACTCTTAAACTGGATTTTTTTTTTAAATTGTATTTTATATTGTGTTTTAGTGAAATTTGGTTTATTTATGAATGTAAAGATGTAAAAATGATATATAAATACTAATTCTTGTAAATAAATGTTAATATACTTAATTAAAACGAAACGAGGTGTGTTCTTATGGGCAAATCAAACGGTAAATTGAAATGAAACGGTAGAATTATACGGGCTAGGTATGGCCTCATTTTTAACATCGACCGCATCAATATGGCTACTTATAGGCACCATCTGAATTGACTGTTATCGCATCACTTCCGGAAAATAAGGTCAAAAATTGTTTCCCTTGTCCGCCATTTGAAATATTTGAACTTCCTTGTGACAACTTCCAATGTACGTTTTGGTTTACACTAAACAATTATCAGGGGATCTGAGCGAATAGTCCTAGTTTCTGCGTCTCATGCACGTTGGGATTCCCGGCGTCAGTAGTTTTCTAATCCGATTGGAACAAAAAAGCGTAGAAAAGTGTGCGAATGCTGCGCGTATTCGAAACGTGTTCAACAACGGAACGCGGTAAAGTTTTTGCATGAGTTGAACGCTGCTTGCGGATAAGGAGAGGCGAAGGGAAGGCCTGTGAAGCCTGGGCTTTTTTCTTGCGCTAGTCATGGCCGGAAATTTTGATTCGGAAGACCGAGGGAGCTGGTATTGGGGGAGATTAAGCCGGCAAGAGGCGGTTTCGCTGCTCCAAGGGCAGAGGCATGGAGTGTTCCTGGTGCGGGACTCGATCACTATTCCCGGGGACTACGTGCTGTCTGTGTCGGAGAACTCCAAAGTCTCTCATTACATAATAAACAGCATCAGCAGCAATCGCCAGTCCGGACCAGGTAAGTTAAGCAGTGCATCTAAAAATACTAAAAACGACGGGACGTATATTGCTTTAGCAAAACGCTTAGCAGCCCAATTAAAAACTTGTGTACTTCTGTAACGTTACTGTGAATAGTTGGCACATTCAGTGTTATTTTTCGCGTCAATCTAATATGACCTAGTAATTTAGTCAGTGTGTTCTTTAAAATGTTTACGCAAACAGTAAGTTTTCCTATATAATTGTATTTTTGGTTCAGTCATTCAGATAATGTACGTTAGTCCTTTTACTGTACTTACCAGTGTGAATCAATGTACACACACACACACATATATATATATATCATTGAGAGAAAAAAAATATTTGCAGATGGTTAATCAGCAATGCTTAATTTAAAAATTATTATACAGCTTTTCTTTCGATTTGGGCCAAAAAAGTGTGGTATTTTCTTAAACAGAAACCATTATACAACAATATTAATCATATCTTCCACTGTTTACCAAGACTAGATTAAAGGGGTCATATTAAGGTACATGCACTTTTTCAAGTTGATTGTGTGTTGGCATTGCCTGTACACAACCAAAAATCTTTCCAGTGTTTTTGTATTAATCTCCTTATGTTTTCCCCTGCCTCAAATTGAGCCGTTCGACCATATGATGTCACTAAATCGGACGCCCTTCCCACGATTTTTGATTGACATCAGCGTTTCAACACAGACCAGCCCTGAGCGAGCTGTCATCATAGTCCGTCATTGTTGATACGCTGGTCCAGAATGGCGTCTAAGCGATTGTGATGTTCTGTTCTTGGGTGTAATAATGAACACAGAAGTCATTTTAATGTTCCTAAATCCGAATCGCTGAAGACGCAGTGGCTGAGTTTTGTTTTCGAGTCAGTATAAAGCTGGTTTAGCTAGGAAGCTACTCCTTAAAAAAGAATCGGTACCAACTATTCATTTCCCTGTTGCACCTCCAGAAGAAGTGAGTGTAAAAATGTAATAACCTTTACATTAATCTTCGCAAATCATTTGTACGCTTCACAATGAATGTGGCTAAGGTTACACTCAGGGTAACGATACATTGTGATATACGATACATTTATGATGAACGAGGTGTTATGGTTGTGTCATTACAAACTGAGTACATATCGGTAAACACATAGTGTTCGTACATCTCACTAAGTTACTCTAATGTTACCCTGCCAGTAAACAAAGATAGATCAAAGTGACATTATGTTAACCAACCATTCAGAAACAACCTGTTCGAGTCTTAATTTTCGAACTTCTTTGCTGCCGTCATCTTGTTCCGTGTCCGACTCCCGCTGCCATTCATTCTCCAAAATATAGCCTACCCTCAACTGTTGACACTGACAGGCAACACTCCACATGCGTTGTGTCTAAACGCCTCAAAGAACCAAGGGGCAGCGTGAGCTAAGCTCATTTCATTTAAAGGTATATGCACTGAAAACAGCTGTTTTGATCAGGTAAAATTAGTGTTTACTTAGAATTTTTAATTAAATTATATTGCAAACTTGTCATTTAGACCCTAAAGAATCAAATTAACTTGTATGAAAATGGCATTATATGACCCCTTTAAGGTAAAGCAGATCTTGATCGTCCATCCATCATATGTGCTCTCTTGCTGTCATCCCACAGGACTTGCTCCTCCTCGGTTCCGTATTGGAGATCAGGAATTCGATGCCTTACCTGCCCTGTTGGAGTTCTATAAGATTCACTACCTGGATACCACCACTCTCATTGAGCCCATTAGCAAAGCCAAGCACTCGTCCTTTATCAGCGTCAATGCGGGAACGGGAGTTCCTCAGAGGCTTGAAGAGGAGTTCGTCCGAGCTCTCTTCGACTTCCCCGGCAACGACGACGAGGACCTTCCGTTTCGAAAGGGCGATATTCTCCGAGTACTGGAGAAGCCAGAGGAGCAGTGGTGGAATGCTCAGAATTCTGAAAGCCGTGTCGGCATGATCCCTGTGCCCTACGTGGAGAAGTACCGGCCGGCCTCGCCAACATCAGGGGCCCCTGGGGGGTCTGTTGGAGGATCCGCTCACGGCAACTCTGACGGCCACAGCTCTCAGTCTCCACCTCTGCTTGGTGAACCGGGCCAGTATGCTCAGCCCACATCCTTACCCAATCTACAGAATGGTCCGGTTTATGCCAGGGCGATTCAGAAGAGAGTTCCCAATGCCTATGATAAAACTGCTCTTGCTTTGGAGGTAAAAAGTGTAGTTATTTTTAATTTACAACATTGTATCACAGGCACACAGATTACTTGTATAACTTGTTTTGTACGTTAAAAACATCTTCATTCATATTACATTTTGAGAAATGTTTTGTTTTGGTGCCACCCAGTGGAACTGTAATTCTCTGTTGAAGTCTGTTTTGTTCATTACATTTACAAAGTAATTCCTCCACTTCTAACACTTGGTCTTGTGTTGTTAGGTTGGTGACATGGTGAAGGTGACCAAGATCAATGTAAACGGGCAGTGGGAGGGTGAGTGCAAGGGAAAGCATGGCCATTTTCCCTTTACTCATGTCCGCTTGCTGGACCAGCACAATCCAGAGGACGAACTGAGCTGAGAGAGCAGACTGTCTTCCCTAGCAGCCCTTAGATGTACACTCATTCACACACATACACACACTCCGGCTCCTCACACATCCTCACTACTGCCCTTAACCTGTTCGCCTCATCATTACCTTGTGCCATTGTGTCTCATGCCAATGTACACAGTACCTGCAACAATTCCCTTGTTAGATTTTATGCAATAATTGAAGATATATACCAAGTAAACACTAAATTCCACACACAACACCATACACTACAGAGCGAGGAGCATTAGTGTGTGGCTTCTTGTGAACTGCGAAAAGAGGAAGAGCCTGCTTGGACTTAAAACATGAGCGGTTTGGTGTCTTAACAAGGGACTGTTCCTTTGCTTCTTTGAATGCGGTAGCATACACTACTTAATGTCCTAGAACACAACAGCTTTTTACACTGCAAATCATCTACTACATGAAAATATTCAGAAATGAATGCAGATCAAACATCCTTTGAATAGTCTTTTTAATTGGCTTGTCAGTCACTACTGGCTCGGCGCCAGTCAGACGGATGGGGCGGCACACTATATAAAAGATGGAGTAGCCCAAACCCTCACCGCATTTCGTTTTATTTATGCACAACATTTCTAATGTATACAAAATGGGCCATGTATCATTATTCACTACCGCCAAGTAACTGTTTTACTACATTTTCATTATATATTATCAGGAAACGCTACTTGCTCCTTTGACCATTATTGCTGTACTTGGAAGTATTACACTAAATGCGGTTTTGTTGAATGTGTAACCGTAATTTCTAATGCTAGACTCAATACGTCAATATAAGATAGACTAAATAGACTTTTGTTGTTGTTTTAAAAAAAAAATCCAACATTGTGACTTTCCCACTCAAATTAACTAGTGTTTTTGCCAGAACTTCCCTTGCCAAGGTTGAAAATACAATGAGTGGTTCTTGCAGTGCCTCTCTTATATGTTGTGGCCCAAAACTGCTTTAACATTAGCTCTAGATATTTCTAAAACAACCCAGTTATCTTTACAATAACCTAATAGGATTTTATGAAGTGTCACATTAATGTGCAAAGCCTAACCTGATGCCTCAAATGTGTTTTACTCAATTGATTTTGCACATACGAGTAGTCTTTATCTACTATCGGTTC